ATGTATATCAGTATGGAACTTTTTGACTTAATCCTACTCTGTCAGGTTTCTTGGATGTGTGCATAGATGCATTCCTTTTATTATATTTGGGGAGTTTTGAGCCATTATATCTTCAAATATCCTGTCCCCTTCTTTCTTCTTTCCTTCTAGAACTCCCATTTTGTGTATATGAGTAATGTCGGTAGTGTCTCACAAGTCTCAAAGGGTCTGTTCCTTTTTTCCTTATTCGTCTGGTTTCTGTTCCTCAGACTGAATAATTTTATTTTCCCTATCTTCAAATTCTCTGATTCTTCTTCCTCTTATCTCTGCTCATATCTACTATTGAGCCACTCTAGTGAATATTATAATATTTTTTTAGTTTTTATCTCTATTGTATCTTTGTATTCCTTTTTTATAATTTATTTTTATTGCTATTCTCCATTTATTGAGACATTTGTTTTCCTGATGTCCTTTAGTTCTTTTCCATGGTTCCTTATATCTTTGAGCATTTTTTAAATAGTTAATTTAAAGCCCTTATCTAGTAACTCCAATGTATCCTTCCTCAGAGATGGTTTTCATTAATTTCTTTTCTTTTTTCCTGTGACTGGGCCGTACTTTCTTATTCTTTGCATGTGTCTTAATTTTTTGTTTAAAGCTAGACAGGAAAAAAAAATGATGACCAGAAAAGAATAAAAAATAAAATGCTCTCCAGATCTTTGTAGATTGGCTCTCTGTTGGGACCTTCCTTTAATGCTTATGCAGGTCTTTTTACAGTTGTGCTGTAGCTTTCACTTCCTCCTAGAGCTGAGCCTAAAGATCACCTGCTATGGAAGCTTATTGTCTCCATGGGTCTCTTCTCCCCAGGCTCAGGTAATGGCTTTCTAGGTGCCTCAGTGTGTAAAGGAGCTTTTCAAAATCCTTATTACTCAAAATGGACCATTATGCAATAAGTATATGCCCAGAAATTAATTAATTTTTTTCTTTTCTGCAGTTACAGCTAGATCACAGAGCAACATCCCCCATCACAAGATTCTTCTGTTTAGTTTTGTTTTGTTTCCAGTGCTGGGGATGGAACCTGGGGCCCTGTGTATGCTAGGCAAGCACTCTGCCATTTAACTGCACCCCCAGCCCTCAAAATTTCTTCCACGTTAAGAGTTCAGATTTGTTGCAGAACACAAATTGTGAGGAAACATTTAAAATGTCACGAAGATAGCTTACAAGAATTTTAGCCTAAAATATTTTTCACAGATCAAATCCTCAGATCAAATATTACAGGGATTTTTACATATACTAAAAATATGTTGGCATGCCTATAATCCTAGTGGCTCAGGAGGCTGAGGCAGGCAGTTCCTGAGATCAAAGCCAGCCTCAGCAAAAGTGAGGTGCTAAGGAACTCAGTGAGACCCTGTGTCTAAATAAAATACAAAACAGGGCTGGGGATGTGGCTCAGTGGTTAAGTGCCCTTGAATGCAATCCCCAGTACCCTCCCCTCAAAAAAGTGTTGGTTTATCTGAAGTTCAAGTTTAAGTTTTGTATCCTATATTTTTGTTTGCTATATCTAGCAACCCCTTGCCTACAGCCATATTTTTTTAAAAGCAGGTGTTTTAAAAATACAGAAGTATAAATATCAGAGCAGGGGCTGGGGATGTGGCTCAAGCGGTAGCGTGCTCGCCTGGCATGCGTGCGGCCCGGGTTCGATCCTCAGCACCACATACAAACAAAAATGTTGTGTCCGCCGAAAACTAAAAAATAAATATTAAAAATTCTCTCTCTCTCTCTCTCTCTCTCTGTCTAATATATAATATATATATAATATATATATATTATATATATAATGTGTGTGTGTATATATATATATATATATATCAGAGCAAATGAAAAGGGTGAAGCTTAATAAAAACAAATCCAAAAGCAGGTCTGGAAGGATTTTTCAGTGGTTGTCTCCCAATGTATCCAAAGTCTGTTTTCTTTTTTTTTATTCTAATTTGTTATGTATGACAGCAGAATGCATTACAATTCATATTACACATATAAAGCACAGTTTTTCATATTTTTGGTTGTATACAAAATAGAGTCACACCATTTGTGTCTTCATACATATACTTAGGGTAATGATGTCCATTTCATTCCACCATCTTTCCTTCCCCCATGCGCCCTCCCTTCACCTCCCCTTCCCTTTGCCCTGTCTAGAGTTTGTCTGTTCCTCCCATGCTCCCCCACCCAATCCCATTATGAAACAGCATACTTATATCAGAGAAAAACTTTGGGTATTTGGTTTTGAGGATTGGCTTACTTCACTTAGCATTATTTTCTCCAACTCCAACCAGCAAATGCCATGATTTTATTCTCTTTTAATGCTGAGTAATATTCCATGTGTATATACCACATTTAATTTATACATTCATCTACTAAAGGGCAACTAGTTTGGTTCCACAGTTTAGCTATTGTGAATTGTGCTACAATGTGTTTATACATTGATGTGGCTTTGTCCCTGTAGTATGCTGTTTTTAAGTCCTTTGGGAATAGACCAAGGAGAGGGATAGCTGGGTCAAATGGTGGTTCCATTCCCAGTTCTCCAAGAAATCTCCATACTGCTTTCCATATTGGCTGCACCAATTTGCAGTCCCACCAGCAATGTATGAGTGTGCCTTTTTCCCCACATCCTCGTCAACACTTATTGTTGTTTGTATTCTTAATAGCTGCCATTCTGACTGGAATGAGATGAAATCTTAAGAGTAATTTTGATTTATATTTCTCTAATTGCTAGAGATGTTGAACATTTTTTCCTATATTTGCTGATTGAATGTATATCATCTTCTTGACTCATTTTTTGATAGGGTTATTTGTTTTTTGGTTTTAAGATTTTTGAGTTTTTTATATATCCTAGAGATTAGTGCTCTATCTGATGTGCGTGTGGTAAAATTTGCTCCCAAAATGTAGGCTCTCTGTTCACCTCACAGATTGTTTCTTTTGCTGAGAAGAAGCTTTTTAGTTTGAATCCATCCCATTTATTTTTTTTAATATTTATTTTTTAGTTTTAGGTGGACATATATCTTTATTATATTTTTATGTGGTGCTGAGGATCAAACCCAGTGCCTCATGCATGCTAGACAAGCACTCTACCTCTGAGTCACAACCCATTTATTGATTCTTGACTTTAATTCTTGCGCTATAGGAGTCTTATTAATAAAATTGGGGCCTAATTGACATGATGGAGATTGGGGCCTACTTTTTCTTCTATTAAACTCATTGTCTCTGGTCTAATTCCTAGGGCCTTGATCCACTTTGAGCTGAGTTTTGTTTATGGTAAGAGATAGAGGCTTAATTTCATTTTGCTGCATATGGATTTCCAGTTTTCCTAGCACCATTTGTTGAAGAGGTTATGTTTTCTCCAATGTATGTTTCTGGCACCTTTGTCTAATATCAAAGATAACTGTAATTATGTGGGTTTGTCTCTGAGTCCTCTATTCTGTACCATTGGTCTACCAGTCTATTTTGGTGCCAATGTCATGCTGTTTTTGTTACTATTGCTCTGTAGTATAGTTAAAGGTCTGTATAGTGATGACACCTGCTTTTCTTTTCTTGCTAAGGATTGCTTTAGCTATTCTGGGTCTCTTATTTTTCCAGATGAATTTCATGATTATTTTTTCTATTTCTATGAGAAATGTCATTGGGATTTTGATTGGAATTGCATTAAATCTGTTGTGTGTGTATGTGTGTGTGTGGTACTGGGGATTGAACCCAGGGCCTTGTACATGTGAGGCAAGCACTCTACCAACTGAGCTATATCCTCAGCCCATGTATTAAATTTGTGTAGTGCTTTTGATAGTATGGTCATTTGACAGTATTAATTCTGCCTATCCAAAGAACAACACAGATCTTTCCATCTTCTAAGGTCTTCTTTAATTTCTTTCTTTAGCATTCTGTAGTTTTCATTGTGGAGGTCTTTCACCTCTTTCGTTAAGTTGGTTTCCGAGTATGTATGTATGTATGTATGTATTTATTTATTGGTGCTGGGGATTGAACCCAGGGCCTTGTGCATGAGAGGCAAGCACTCTACCAACTGAGATATATACCAGCCCCCAAGTTTTTTTTTTTTTTTTGAGGCTAAATGGGGTAGTTTTCCTCATTTCTCTTTCAGAGGGTTTGACACTGATAGACAGAAATACCTTTGATTTATCGGTGTTGATTTTATATCCTGCTACTTTGATGAATTCATTTATTAGTTCTAGAAGTTTTCTGGTGGAATTTTTTGGGTCTTCTAGGTATAGAATCATATCGTTCGCAAATAGTGCTAATTTGAGTTCTTCTTTCCCTATCCATATCCCTTTAATTTCCCAAAGTCTGTTTTCTTGAAGTGAATTAAAACCAACTTTCCCACAATGAATGTCCCATTATGTATAATTATAATGCAATATTTAAAAAATAAAAATAGAAAACTTTCCCCAAAGGAAGACTATTGTTCATTGCAGATGTATGGGAATACTACAGAATGGAACTATTTTAAGTTTTAAGGTTGGAATGAAGCACATTTGACTAGGAATAAAGGTGAGAAGGTCCACCTACGGACAGAAGATGGCCAAGTGGCAAAAATCTATCAAACTCAGAACTTATCTTTTAAGTAGAATTAGTGGCTATCAATTGAAATAAAACAGTGTCATAAACTTGTGGCCGTAAAGAAATATCTATAACAGATTATAGCTTCTTAGCCTTATAGATAATTTTTCAAAGAGTTAAGTTAAAGCTTACTTGCTTCCTTGCTCCTCAGCTTCTGAGAATTCTTCCAAAATTTCACTTTTTGCAAAACACCTTTATAAATCTCTGAAGTCATATAAATTAAAAAAATAATAATATAAATAAATAAATAATAAAAAATTAAATAAATCTCTGAAGTCTAAAATATAGCTTTGTACAATACTGGTTTTAAAGAACCTGATTTTTCTTTTATCTCATGGTATAAACTAAAAAGCTTGGTACATTTTATTTAAGACATAATGTTTGACATGTACTTTATGTTACAGGCGGTGAGGTCACTCAAGGAGACAATCGAAGACTGTTGGGACCAGGATGCAGAGGCTCGTCTTACTGCGCAGTGTGCTGAGGAAAGGATGGCTGAACTTATGATGATATGGGAAAGAAACAAATCTGTGAGCCCAACAGTCAATCCCATGACTACTGCTATGCAGAATGAGCGGTAAGGCCCTGAGGGGTTTGACAACTATATCAGTATTAGAAACTTAGACCAAACAAAAAAACAGGAAATAAATACTGCTAAGCCAACCTAATAAGGCAGTGACTAACTCATACTTTGTAAAGTTTCAATTTTTCTTTTACTATCTCCATTTTTCTACTGAAAAACATTTATTTGGTATGAGTACAAGATGGAATCTGTATTTTTTTACATCTGAAGATAAAGAAATTACCCTTTTTTAAATATTTATTTATTTATTTATTTTGAGAGAAAGAGTGAGAGAGAGATCTTTTTTTTTTTTTTTTTTTTTTTTTGTAGATGGACACAACACAATGCCTTTATTTTTATGTGGTGCTGAGAATCGAACCCGGGTCCCGCGCGCACTAGGCGAGCGTTCTACCGCTCAGCCACAATCCCAGCCCTAATATTTATTTTTTAGTTTTAGATGGATACAATATCTTTATTTTATTTTTATGTGGTGATGAGGATCAAACCCAGTGCCTCACGCATGCCAGGCGAGCGCACTACCACTTGAGGTACATCCCGAGCCCTGAGATTACCCTTTTTAAAAAAAAAAAAAATTTAGAGGGCTGGGGATGTAGCTCAGTTGGTAGAGTGCTTGCCTCACATTCACAAGGCCCTGGGTTCAATCCCTAGCACCACAAAAATAAATAAATAATATATATATTTTTAAGTTGTAGATGGACACAATACCTTTATTTTATTTATTTATTTTTATGTGGTGCTGAGGATTGAACCCAGTGCCTAACACATGCTAGTTGGCAAGTGCTCCACTACTGAGCCAAAACCCCAGCCCCGAGATTAGTAATGCTTCAATTTTCCTGAAGTAATGAAAGTAAAATAATTTTATAGTTCAAAAGGTTTATAAGTCTTTCTACATATTGTCTAATATACCCAGTATGTTATTATTCCTTCTTCCTCTGAGTTTTTTTTTTTTTTTAATAAAGGATACCGTGAACCTGCATATATATCTAACTGTTTTACTGAACACTGAGGTTTGAAGACTTCCTATCCAATACTCGTTCATTTTTCTTTTTTCTTTTTTTGCAGGGGGGATACTGGGGATTGAACTTAGGGGCACTCAACCACTGAGCCATATCTCCAGCCCTGTTTTATATTTTATTTAGAGACGGTGTCTCACTGAGTTGCTTCATGCCTTGCTGTTGCTGAGACTGCCTTTGAACTTATGATCCTCCTACCTCAGCCTCCTGTGCTGCTGGTATTACAGGCATGAGCCACCATGCCAACTCCAGTGCTCTTTCTTAATCAATTCTAGCATTCTTTCTGTTTTGCCATGAACATTGTTTTATGAGATGTTTCCTTTGTTAGAACTATGAATTTTTAGTTCTAAATTAAAAGGCTTTAAAAAAAATTCCTACAACTTGAAACTTTTAGACTGACTCATCTCTAATTCTTGTTCCATATTTAGGAGGAACAGACCTTCCTATGAATTTTATCTAATACATGTTTAAAAATTTCAGAGAGGCATCCAGGAAAGAATTACCAGAGAAAATTGAGATTAAAAATATACTTCATTGTTGAATCATTTTCTTTGCTATTTTCTCTTCTTCTCTTTTCTAAGAGGAATTTGTATTATGAACTATTTGTACTACTTATACATAGATCAAATCCATTTCGGATATTTTATATCAATAAGTCAACGAAGGGGCTTGAGTTGATAGCTCAGCGGTAGAGCGCTTGCCTTGTACGTATGAGGCACTGCATTCGATTTCCAGCACCACATATAAATAAGCAAATAAAATAAAGCTCCATAAAAAACTTTAAAAAAATTAAAAAAAATAAGTCAAAGAAGGTAGAGACTAGTACTTCTTACTATAAATTCTCTCACTCTACCAATATCTGAGGAAGGCTTGTTCCCATCTCTTTTTGTTCTAATTTTCATTCTAATTTTCTAATATGCTGTTTATACCTGTTTGAAGAGTCAGCTAAAGCTTTTACATTAAATGCTTTTGAACTTTTCTTGAATAGTAAGAAGAAACTCTTGATGCTTCCCTTTGGCCTTTCCCCTGACTCCTGTGTATTCAGCTCTACTCTCTAAGTATTGCTTCTTATCTCCAGTGTCTGTTATAGATTCTCCTAAATCATAGTCCATTCCATATTCATTCTTATTCTAGGTTTTATTTTATTGCATCTTAACCTCTATACTACTTAGCTTTCTTTTTTATGTATATATATTTTTTTACTAGTTGTTGATGGACCTTTATTTTATTTACTTCTTTATATGTGGTGCTGAGAATTGAACCCAGTACCTCACACATGCTAGGCAAGCGCTATACCACTGAGCCAAAACCCCAGCCCTAGCTTCCTTTTCCTGTGACTCTGTAACAGCCTTTTCTTCTCTGTTTTCCTGTCATTTCTCTTATAACTTCATCAGACTTCTATTATAATACCTCTTTTCCTTAAGCATCTGCTTCTCTCCTATACTAGTTTTATCTGTTAATGTTCCCAATATTTGTACCTTTATTGTTTTAGTTAAAGCTATCCCTGGTTTTATTTTAGTGAGATCTTATATAATTATAAATGTGTTACAATGCACTGGTCAAAAACCACCACTTCTGAGGAATGATAATGATTGTGACAAACCCTTGATAACTAGAGAGCAGTTTTGAATCTTTGAGCTTTTTGTTTAAATATTTTTAGTTATAGATGGACACAATACCTTTATTTTATTTATATGTGATGCTGAGGATCAAACCCAGTGTCTCACATGTGCTAGGCAAGTGTTCTACCACTGAGCTACAACCCCAGCCCTTCTTTGAGCTTTTGTCTGAATGTCATTTGATCCTTTATCTGCCTCATAGCCTAGGCTGCAGGACTTTCACTGATTTTGCTTAGACTACCCCAGAAAAAAATGTTCTGTTGCTAGACTGTGCCTCTTAATTGGAACTCTTTGAAGCAACCTAAAAACTTATTATTTTTATCATTTGGCTAATATAACAATTTATAACGTATTTGTTGAGTAAGCAGTGGATATTGGGTTATGAAAATATGAAATAAACTTATGCCATGGTTCCTTCTCTTAACAAAACATAATGTTTAGCTGTATAAGTATATAGTTTGTAAAGGTATATTTGGTAATGTTTTAAAATTATAGGGGATATTTTTAAGTTGACTCTTAAACCAAAATTAATGAGCATCTATAAAAGTCTAGATTCATATAGATTTTTCAGTAGTCTTAATTCACATAAAATTAGCATTTAGCAGGTTATTAATACTTGATTATTTTATTATACCTTTTAAGTAATATAAGTTAGCAGCTCAGCCTTTAAAATCAGTGGTTTTACTTGAAGAGACTATTTGTCGTAAATGTACATTCTCAATGTCACACTTTTTTTCTTTCTTTAAGCAACCTGTCACATAATAGGCGTGTGCCAAAAATTGGCCCTTATCCAGATTATTCTTCTTCCTCATACATTGAAGATTCTATCCATCACACTGACAGCATTGTGAAGAATATTTCCTCTGAGCACTCAATGTCCAGCACACCTTTGACTGTAGGGGAAAAGAATCGTAATTCAATAAATTATGAACGACAGCAAGCACAAGCTCGAATCCCCAGCCCTGAAACGAGTGTCACCAGTCTGTCTGCCAACACAACAACCACAAACACCACTGGTCTCACTCCAAGTACTGGTATGACCACTATATCTGAGATGCCATACCCAGATGAAACAAATCTCCATGCCATAAATGTTGCACAGTCAATTGGGCCAACCCCTGTCTGCTTACAGCTGACAGAAGAAGACTTGGAGACTAACAAGCTAGACCCAAAAGAAGTTGATAAGAACCTCAAGGAAAGCTCTGATGAGAATCTGATGGAGCATTCTCTTAAACAGTTCAGTGGGCCAGACCCACTGAGTAGTACCAGTTCTAGCTTGCTTTACCCACTCATAAAGCTTGCAGTAGAAGTGACTGGTCAGCAGGACTACACCCAGGCTGCAAATGGCCAAGCATGTTTAATTCCTGATGTTCCACCCACTCAGATCTACCCTCTCCCTAAACAACAGAACCTTCCTAAGAGACCTACTAGTTTGCCTTTGAACACCAAAAATTCAACAAAGGAGCCCCGGCTAAAATTTGGCAGCAAGCACAAATCTAACTTGAAACAAGTAGAAACTGGAGTTGCCAAGATGAATACAATCAATGCAGCAGAACCTCATGTGGTGACAGTCACCATGAATGGAGTAGCAGGTAGAAACCACAGTGTTAACTCCCATGCTGCCACAACCCAGTATGCCAATGGGGCAGTTCCATCAGGCCAGACAGCCAACATGGTGACACATAGGGCCCAAGAAATGCTGCAGAATCAATTTATTAGTGAGGATACCCGGCTGAATATTAATTCCAGTCCTGATGAGCATGAACCTTTGCTAAGACGAGACCAACAAGCTGGCCATGATGAAAGTGTTCTAGATCGTCTTGTGGACAGGAGGGAACGGCCACTAGAAGGTGGCCGAACTAATTCCAATAACAACAACAGTAATCCATGTTCAGAACAAGATGTTCTTACACAGGTTGTTTCAAGCACAGTAACAGATCCAGGGCCATCAAAGCCCAGAAGAGCACAGAGGCCCAATTCTCTGGATCTTTCAGCCACAAATGTCCTAGATGGCGGCAGTATACAGAGTAAGTGGAGGGATCATGGACCATCTCTTAGGTATTCTTTGAAGCCATTTAAATAGCTACATAAAATCAGATTGTGTTGCAACCAGTGACTGTTTACCTTTATCACTTTGGGAAATAGAAATAAACCATTTGGTTAGGCTTCAAAAGTAATTGGACTATTGTAAGAAGAAACAATTTTATCATAAATAATTAAAAGGTCAATGTCACAATGGAAGAATTCCCAATTTAATATATGCTTTATGTGAATGCTACTTTCATGCACTTATTATGAGCAGATAGGATTAAATAAATACCAATTTAACAGCTCTAAATAACATTATGCCATTATAATTTTTGATATATTTTTTACACATATTAGCATCTGTTATACCTACATTTTTATTTTAACCTTAGTAAGTCTTAAAAGTACATAGAAATTTCAGAAAAGCGATTATGAAGAAACTATTAAAGTTGTTCTCAGTTGCTTAGTGTCATCTTTTTCAAGAGTTACATGTTGAATTCCACCTGTACTTATGGTATTGTACTATGGGCAACAGGACAACTTAAATAATAAGTTGATGCTTGGGTTTTGGCCCTAAAAGTATTACAAAACAAGATAGGAAAGCTCACTAAAATTTCTAACAGTCATCATTATACAAAATGGTTTGTCTTTAAACTGTCAATACATAAGGAAGAAAAAAGTCATGTTTTATGGTTGTTACAGACTATAAAATGGGCTGCAAGAAAGATACAAGTCCCCCAAAAAACCAATGTAGCCCCTTGCTTAAGTGGCTTGTGTTATAGACCAGTCGACACACCCTTATTGCAGGGCTCTGTGTCAATAAAATAGCTTGCCAGGTATGGGAAGAAAGAATTACTGGACAATTTGTACCCTAATATTTCTGTCCTTCCTCTGAAAAAATATATGCTTAGATGCCTTTAAAATCTGATCTACTTTGAGCATTAAGTAGAATAATTTACCAAATTGGGATCTACCAAAACCAAAGAATTTGAGAAAACACCTAAGGACTTCTGGATTTTCTCCATTTATACTTGTGTATTTTCTATGTTTTATTTATTTCTCTGTAATTCAGTCAATTACAAAAATGTTTGACATAAAGAGTTTCAAAATGAATTGGTTAAATTTTGCCTAGAAAAACATTGCCTGGCATTGTGAATTTCAAGAAATTTGCATTATCGCCTTCTATAGATATTGGCTTGACCTCCCCTTGAAATTCAACCCTAACCTTTTACTTCTTAATGTTTTCTTTATACATAGTTCATTTTTCCATACTTTTATTTTCAGTAGGTGAGTCAACGCAAGATGGCAAATCAGGATCAGGTGAAAAGATCAAGAAGCGTGTGAAAACTCCCTATTCTCTTAAGCGATGGCGCCCTTCCACCTGGGTCATCTCCACTGAACCACTGGACTGTGAGGTCAACAACAATGGCAGTGATAGGGCAGTTCATTCCAAATCCAGCACCGCCGTTTACCTTGCAGAAGGAGGCACTGCCACAACCATGGTGTCTAAAGATATAGGAATGAATTGTCTGTGAAATGTTTTCAAGGTTATGGAGTGAAATTATTTTTTGCATCATTTAGCTGAAGACAAAAAAAAAACTGCTTTATCCTCCTGTCAGCACCCCCTCCCACTCCTGCAACAAGGACTTGCTTTAAATAGATTTCAGCTATGCAGAAAAATTAGCTTATGCTTCCATATTTTTTAATTTTGTTTTTTTAAGTTTTGCACTTTTGTTTAGTCTTGCTAAAGTTGTATTTGTCTGTTATGACCACAGAATTATATGTGTGTGTATCAAAAGTGGTCTCAAAATATTTTTTTAAGAAAAAAAAAGCAAAAACATTGTATTGCTGATAATCAGTTTGGACCATTTTCTAAAGGTCATTAAAACAGAAACAAATTAAGACAGGTTTGCCTGCAGTGGTGTCTGGTATCCATGTTTTATTTCTGGGCACAAGCTAGTTTATATGTTGATATGTTCTTAAACATATTATCTGTTGGACATTCTTTTCTCTTGTATTTTGTTTGAATGTGCAATAGTCTGTAGACCACAAATAAGCTTTCTTGTAAGCGCTCTTCCTAATGGGGCACACATTCTTCCATAATATGAACATTTTTCTCCCCTCATTCTTCCATAATCTGAACAGTTTTCTCCCCTATCTCCCATGCTTTTTGTAGGTCAGTTCTGTGACAGTGAATTTTGCACAGAAGAAAGCAGCTACCTGATTTCTTGCTTTCTCTCTCTTTTTGGAGAATGCAGAAACATTGTCTGAAAGGGCTCTGTAGAAGAAACTACCAAAACCCATTTTGAAATGCCATATTCTTTTAACCTTCCAAATCTTAAACATATCCTTCTGGGCATTTTAACAAGTATATTTTGATTCTGGTTTTGGAAGTTCATAAAAGAGCAGAGAACAAAATACAAGAAATCAAATATTAGTCTTTTATCTTTTAATTTTATTTTTGTATGTACATGTTCCATATTCATTTATTTAAGAAATACATTTTTATCAGAAAACATTTAGAGTTAAACTTACATGGAATTTAAGTAAGTAGGTGGTTAAGACATTATAGTTTTATAATTTCATTCTCTGAATAGGCCATCTTTGACTCAAAAAAATTACATTTTTCTTTTATTATAACTTCAAAAATAATTCATAGTTTTGAACCTGTAGTACTTTATTATGTTCCCAAGCAAAGCCTAGTGACTTTATGTGAAAATTATTTCCTTTACCCATGACCTAAAACACTGTGTAGAAAAATCATTCAACTGGCATGCCAAATCTCTATGGCAGGAAGGACTACTGCCAAACTTACCTTTCTTGAACAGGCTGAGATTTACCCTCTCTCTCTTTGCAAAACTGTGTATTTCATCCGTAGTCCTCATTTCATAATTTCTCCTGTTGCTAGTTTTTCACATAATCTCTGATATGTGAGCAGAATTTATTATTTATATTGCATTAGAATACACCTTTTAGTGATAGTAAACCCTTAAAATAATATTGTTTTTAAAGCTTCCTTGCTTCTTTGATTACTTATAATTTTTTCTAAAATAACAACCTCTGCATTTTTTTTTAAATTAAGCACTTTCTTTCAAATAAGGGATTTTTTTTTCCTAAACAAATTATATACTGACAATTTGAAAACAGTGATCTCACTTATTTTTTTCAGATTCATGGAGTACTTAATATAACATTATCTGATTAAGTTCTAAGATTTTTCTGGGACATAAAAAGTTAAGAGAAAAACAAATCCCCAAATTTCTGATTTAGGTTCTTACCTCCTGAACAAAATATTTTCTCATTCATACTCTCTGTCTTGAGCATTTAGTAAAAGACAGCTTAAACTTCCCAGCTGGCTGTCCAAAATACTTGTGACTTATTTATGTATAAGCCTTCTTATTGCCATCTGCTGTGATGTTATGAGTTAGAGATTACAACATTTACCATTTATTCAACTGGATTGCTGATTACAGGTCTTGATTCTTAGAATTAAGATTATTTTTAGTGCCCAGGATTTCCACCTTTTGTGTTTTATTGGACCTTTCTTGTGATTCAGACCTTTAACATATTTTTTAGTCTTCTGGCATATAATTTTTTTCATAAAGCTATTATCTTTTATCTTTGTGACAAATTATTTGTAGTTTTTCCCAGGAAATTTTCATTTAGTTCTCTTGTCTTTAAAATGCATTTCAGAATAGTCTTTTCAAACATTTAGGAGACAATATTGAATCAAAATAAATTATATTCCATCTCCAAGCATTAAGGATAAATGACTGTTTTGAACAACCCACAATAAAAAATTTAAAAAAAAAAAAGGATAAATGACTATCTGAGGTTTTAACTGACCTTTTCCTATCAGACGAAGAGTTCTGTATGCTCTAGTAGACTTTCTATTTGGGCCAGTCCACTTTAAGTTTTTCAACATTTTTTAATGTTCAATAATAAAATGCTTTAAAAAATAACTTACCCAATTAAAATAACTGCATAGTTTCCATTTCATGCAAACATGTTTAAAACAATTTTCTTTCCCCAGTTATTTTAGTCAACTGTTGAAAAAATAGGAGAGGTAGAAAGTACGGATCATATTAAAAATTTAGGTTAAATTATACATCAGACTTTTAGAATTTTTGTAATATATAAGGAAGAAAATCACTTTAAATGATTTAAATTATATAATTGCTAATTTTATTCATGTAACAGTAAATGTTTCTTAAAGCTGATAGTTAAATGCTATCACAAAATTTTGCATTTAGAAAAGAATTTGGGTCTTTTTAAATAAAGGGCCACTGAATTTGAAAATATGAAAACTTATTTCACTAGGTATTAATGTAACCTTAAAAGCGTCATGCTAGGTAATCATACTAGGTAAGTCTAATATCAGTTCCCTTAACAAATCTAAATTGTATACCAGAATTAAGTAATTAAAAGAACTTGATTTGGATTTTGTTTACACTAAATGATTTAAATATAAATCCTAAAACCTTTTTCTTTTTTTTTTTACATTTAAATATTTTCTAAAACTTTTTTCTAAATGCATAATTGGGAAAGAAAAAAAAACTATTCCTGTAGAAAGTATGAAAAGGCACATACAGAATACTGAGAGATATATATGGTATTTAATCCTCACAGTGACCCAAATGAGCTAACGTTCCCACTTTACAGATAAGGAAAACAAAGTTAAGAGAAACTAGATAATTTGTCCAAGGTTCACATCTAGTTACAGACAAAGATGGGATTTAGCCTGTGTCTGCCTCTCTACATCTCTTATGTGTAGCACATTGCCTACATACTGTATGACAGGTTATGTATTGTACTGACGTTTTTAAGAAATTTAGTCATTATATTCCAGCACAATTATGGTTTGTATTTAAGCCAAAGCAGACACCTTAATGATTTTAGCAGTTAGGCAACCATAAAATGTATAGACTTGCCTATGCCTTTTGTTGCTTAAGACATAATTACTAGTTCAAAACAAAATTCAATCTTAAGTTTGCCACCTTAAAATAATTCACCTAACTCCTAGCTTTCTTATATTGCAGAACTAAAGGTAAAGTAAATTTTAAGGGAAAAGTGAAAGTAGCTTTGGGAACATTTTCCTAAAATGATTCCATACTAGATTTGGAAAAATTAAATTAGCATAGAACTTCAATCTCATCAATCCTTTGAAATTTTTAATCTTTGAAATTTCTGCATTTAGTGACTTTAGAAAATTTGTTAATCCAGAGAACTAATTGAATAGGATATGGGAAGGATACAAAGATAATATTATCTTTCACAAAGTAATGTAGCTTCCTCATATGTATTTACTTGTTCTAGAAAATGTACATTGATTCTGAATATAAAAATAACTAGAAAAGAAGAAACACTACTCAAGTAAGTATGTGTTTCAGTTGGAATTATCACAAAATTGGCAAATCTTTTTATGTAAAATATTTACAAGTTTGTCTTCTAAAGCCAAGTTAGGCCACAGCTATTATACTGAATTTTTAGTCTCTGTAAATATGTCTCCTGAAAGTCATTTAAAAAAATTGAATATGTCAATAAACTTTTTATTTTCTTTTTTTCATACTTACAGGCATGAATATTTCATTGGAGATTGTTAACTCTTAGAACTTGATGTGACGTTATATTTCTATACTACATTTTATAAATACATGTTGAACTTACTACCAGTTATATGCAGGTTATTTTACATAATTATTCACAGATTGCTTTATATATTACCTTATCTTCTTAGCAAACTGTACTCTTATAATCTGCACACTTGATTATCTAGACCAGCCATTCTAGAAATTGAGTAATAACTCCCACATACACCCCAGGAGTCTCTTTCAGACTGGGATATTTCTAAATATTCATAGCCTTGATTGATAGTGGGTTTTTTTTCCAGCAATGAAGTTGCATTTTACCTTTGAGATTATGAACTATGCAAACTGCCCCAAACTACCTTACATGATCCCTTCCTAGATATATTCATTAAATAAATCTGGCAAATCACTGTTGGAGCTAGTTACACAAAAGTTATTATCCAAAGAAGGCTTTTCTGCATGTTTCCAGATTAACATATGAGAGAAGAGGATATCACAGAGAGTGCTCTAGTGCACCTACCCATTACTCTCCCTAAATTGCCACATGGTTTATGTCTGGTTTACTCTGTCCCTCTGCTATCTGACTTGCAGTTTTATGTGTCAGAAAAGTTTTCTGCATGTCTATTCTGTCTCCCTCTTGCTTCATTTTTAAATCCATTTCTTTACCCAGTAGGAAAAAAAGAACAATTGGTCATCATCTCCAACACTGTTACTCTAGTATACTTCAGACTTCTCAGTTAACATCTAAATCTCAGTTCTTCAAACAAAATTGTTTCAATCTCTTTAGCTTTCCTTCTCAGTTCCATTTTAATGACCTTATATTTAAGAGCACATAAAATTATATTTTACATTCTACTCAAATTAATTACTCCATTTAAGTAATAGTTCAGTAGTTTTATAGAATTGAGAGTTAGTTATCATTTGACATTAGATTCAATCATCAGACCACCAGCAAATCAGCACTTAATTTTTATATTATCTAACATTTTCTATTGTGAAGTTTTTATGATTTTATATTTTCATTAATTATAACTAAAAAGCCATGCATACAGAATTGTATATCATTTTGCCATTAAAATTTTTAACTTACATTGCAGTAAGCTTAGTATTTATTAAACCACAATGTTTTACATTTCTTTGTATCAGTTGTTGTGTTGAACACTAAACACAAGATTCATTTTTAAAAACAAACCCTACAAAAATCAGGTATAATTCCATGAACATTTTTGTAGACCACTTTTGAAATACTTATCATTGTTTTGCAACATGGACTGGACTATAACAACTTTCCTTTAACTTTTATGTGACTGATTAAAGTTGAGTGTTTGCATATAAAGAAAAATTTAAACATTTATCTCATGGCAGATACATTTGAAAGTAAATAATTTAGGAGAATTTATGCTGTGTATTAAAATTATGCCCCAAATAAATCTTTCATATCTTTAAAAATTCCAATTCCGTTATTACTGTGATGTTTATAGCTTTGTTATTAAACCTTGTGAACATATGCATTTATTTTAAAAACTTAATTTGACAACCACATTAAAATCTGAGTAAGAGAAGGAATCTTTAGAAATAAAATTACTTCATTAGGGTGTTCAGTTTGTGATTGAATATTTAAGAAAATTGCTGTATTTAAAATTACAACTTTATTTTTTTTTTCAGTTTTAAAAGATAACATGGGTTTTTTTTCCCATTTTATTTGTACTTTTAGGTTTCAGAAACATCTTCCTGTTTTAAAATCACTTTATAGACATAATATTACTTAAAAACTCAGGGCCCCTTTCATCTTTTGTATACTGAAAAAGTTCAGTTGGTAGCAAACAAGCAATTAGATCCAGTTGAATATTTAAAGTGTTTGTTGCACAGTTTATTTAATGACTTGTGTTATTATTTGACTTACTTCACATAGACATAATATCAGATTTCTTTAATCATAAAAACTTGCCCAGTTCTGTAATTACTGAATAAAAAGAATGACTCAACTAATTAGCTACATGTTACAACAAATTTAGGCCTTAGAGTTGACTGGCTTAAACCTTTCTGTTCATTGATTAAATGGCTATCCATGATGGGACAAATCATTTTATTTTGTTTTTTTAATAACAAAGTAATTCCTCTGAAAATTTTCTTAAGAGGTAATTTAACATAAAATTTTCTTCTAAAAGTAAACTATTGAGTTTATAGCTTTAGTAATAGCTTGAATGATTCTGAGAGATAATCTATGGTAATCTATCACATTGTCAGAGCCAAATAGAATTTTTCTTTGAATCAGATAAGCTCAAGCTCTAAAATGGTATGCTGTGTTTAATTCTAGCAATGAAGTTGTTTATAATCAGTCTCTTGTCTCAGGATCCCCACCTTGTTACCAATCCTCTTAAGTATGTAAAAGAAGCTTATTTTTAAAGAAACTTAATAGTAAGGAAACTAAATTACTAAAAAATACAGCTAAAAAATTGTTAGATTCTGGTTTATCATTGAATTGCTTGACTTCTATGGCTTTTCTTATTCTGGTCACATTTATTTATTTAAGCAATTTTTGTATGCCTTGTTATTTCATTTCCATAGAGATTATATTGTATAAGTGTTTGTATAAGCTGGAATCATCCTTAGTTTTCTGTTGATGATTTTTCAAATGAAGATACATGGATAATTGTAAAATACACTAACTCCTAGGGTGTTGTAGTAGCTGAAACATGGAAATGTGTAGCTGCCATGCTTTTTCTGAATGGACAGGAAAGACATAAGCTACAGAGTATTCATTTCTGAGGATGCTTTTCTAAAAAAAAAAGAAAGGCTGAAAAATAATGGCACTTCCTCAGAACCCTCTTTCTTGTTAACGGGTATCTTTTGTTGGTGTGTTTTGCTCTTACATTACAGATAGAATATCATATTATGAATTTATGAATAATTACTTTCAATTATTTTGCTTTTGTATTAGCCGTCTGAGACCTTGCTATGCTGTACAAGTTGTGTTTGATGGATCAGTGTGAGTATGAAATAAAGCAAATCACTTTTCTTTTGTATTATCTATGGATGCCACTATGAAAGCTGACATTAAGCCACTAAAGAGTTTTCTATGAATAAGTGTAAGTAAATGCTTTGATATATATAAACCTAAATAAAAAGATTGTATTGATACAAAGACATTGGAGAAGGAGATTTTAAGACAGTTATTTAGGTTTAAAAAGGCTTGCTGTAAAATGGTGCATTATTCCATTTATTAAAGATCATATTAATGACAACAGTAATTGTACTTTTTTATGAGTTCTCTAGAAATTATTATTACTAGTATGATATTTTAGGTATTTTGCACTAGAATATTAAATGTTCAACCTAATATATCTACAACTAACTGTGACACATTAAAAAAAACCCTGAAGTTAGAATAATACTTGCTACTTTCTGGCCACCTACAGTATGCAGGGTTCAATCCTCAGTACACCAGACAAACACACAAGGCTGGGGATGTAGAGTGCTTGCCTGGCATTCATGAAGCCCTCAGTCATCTTCTGCTTTATTCTATGCTGTTTCTTAACGGTGAAGTTTTATATTTGCAACTTGTATTTTATTGGAATGATATTATTTGCTTTTTAAAAATTGACTAATTATTACTATACTGAGAGATATCAGAAAGCATGTTCTAATTTCTGCCCTCCAGGAACTTATACCTATTATGGAGGAGATAAGGTGCCTAACCAGGAAATGGTTACTTCCAAACAAGGTGATATTGTAAGTGCCCAAATATGGTAAGCCGTATGCCCAATGTGTGTTTGAAAAGCCAAGGAGGACTTCAGCTGAGAAAATGATTATTGAGCCAGGATCTTGAAAGGATGAGTGGGATTTCAACAGGACTAATGAAGTAGAGATAAAAAAAGAATGTGGACTAGAAATAAAACAGACTAAGTAGAATTGAAGTTTTGAAAGCCTTCCCTGGATAAGTCACACAGAAAGTCAATTTGTTCTCTTTGAATGCCTCATTAGATCAACTTGAATAATCACCAGGTATCATAGATAACCAGTTCAATAAACATTTATTTACTTCAAAATAAACAACTTAGCAGGGTGTGGTGGCACACACCTGTGATTTCAGTGACTCGGGAGGCTGAGGCAAGAGGATCACAAGTTTGAGGCCAGCCCCAACAACTTAATAAGACCCTGTCTCAAAATAAAAAGGGCTGGGGATATAACTCATTGGTAAAGTACCCCTGGGTTAGATCTCCAGTACCCACCCCCCGAAAAAAAGAGTAGTTCTGAAGTTACATGATATTTAAAGAGAATAATGTATCCTAGTAAATTAAGACATTTGGCATTTGGGGGTGGTCCTTTCACTGCTCTGCAAAAATGAGTATTCAAGTTGCCTTTAAAGGCCTGGGTAGGAGTAGCTCAGTGGCAGGGTGTGCTTAGCATACACAAAGCCATGGGTTTGGTCCCCAGTCAAGCCTGTCCTAAAGTGAAAGATAGTAGAAAGATGGCAAGGAGGTGGGTGTTCATTGTAGATAAAAGGTCTTAAGAAAAGCTGCCCTTCTTTTGTCAGGTGCTTCCTTCTCCCATCAAATCCTCAGTCAGCCAGCTTAATTTCCCAACTATAGGATTCTTCTCCCCTTTCTACTTAGTTAGGAAGGAGGCAAACCCCTATTCAAAGAAACAGGCATCGTTTGATTTTTTTTTTTAAGTTGTAATAAATGGAACAAATGAAAGTGAAGTTTTCCTTTGCTTCCCTACCTCCCCAATGATAATTAAACTCATTAATCATTTATGTCAGATATGGAAAATATGCTTAATGTCCTAAGGAAAAAATATTTAAGGAAACTCATCAGTCTCTTTAGATGTCATACGATTTCAGAACTACCCAGTTTTTGAAAAGTTAATATTTCATTTATTTATTTTGAAGTAAATAAGTTTATTAAAGTGGCTTATTCATGACATTTGGTGATCCCTATGAGTCATATCTTCTCACTTTTAAAAAGTATATGAAAAAACTACTGTATCTCTCTCCTCTTAAATTTCATTGTCTCTTCTTACCAGGTCACTAGGTTCAAGTTTCTACCTGAAATTCCAACTTGTCTGCCTGCAGTGGCTATATACCTCTGGAACCTTATCTTCCTCCTTTTCTACTATAGTTTACAGCTATGTGTTTATTTTATTTCCTATACTAGATTGTCAGCCTTTTGCATCAAGAGGGAGTGTGATCAATTTTCTCTCTTTAAAGTACCAATGTTTAATTTATGGGTATGCTGATATCAAAGTCTTTTTTCCCCCCATTTTAAAAGTACATTATCACTTATCCTGTATTAATCAGGCTTTTTAGTCTATCTGGTTACTCTTTGTGCTTGGAAGTAATTTAATTGCAGGTCATTTCATAAGTTATTTTATGGGCTTGGTGGCACATAATGGGAGTTAAAATTGTACAAAATGATAAGCCCTGAGGAAATGGGTAGGTTGCTGCCTATGACTACAAAGAAATTTAAATAAACAAGTAGCAGTATTACCTAAAATCTACATTTAGCACCATGACTGTAAAAAGAGTAAGTTTAAAAATTAGGTTCTTTAGGGCTGGGGTTGTGGCTCAGCGGTAGAGCACATACCTTGCATGTGCAAGGCCCTGGGTTCGAGCCTCAGAACCACATAAAAATAAATAAAATAAGGTTTAAAAAATAGGTTCATAAGTAAAATGCTTTTTTTTTTTAAACTTGTTTTGCTCCTTACCTTTTCAATAGTGTTAGTGAAACACTAAAGTCCCCACTCCTCTGGTGCCCAGCAAGCAAATCTGCATACTATTTTGACCACTAGGTGGCTCTCTTACTTCATGTTCTAATAGCTGGGCCTCTCCATTCTTTTCAAGGACTAAACACTTCTGTTATCAAATTTGATTCTTAATGATTTCTTATTGATTAGGAATTCTTGGCAGGATACTTTATCAATACTATTTATATTTTAAAAGTCCATTGCTTTCCACAGGCTGAGATTTTGTGTAGGCAAAAAGCCTACAGGGTTACTACTCTCCAGAACAGCACATATAAAAACCGCCTGGTTTTTAATAAGCATGATCTCAAGTGCATGTACAAATATGTAACAACAGATTCCACCATTATGTAAAACTATACCACACCAATAAAATATATGGGAAAAATAGCCAGGCACAGTGGCACACGCCAGTTTCCCAGCAACTCAGGAGGCTGAAGCAGGAGGATCACAAATTCAAAGCTAGTCTCAGCAAACTTAGCAAGACGCTGTCTCTAAATAAAATGTAAAAAGGGGTGGGATGTGGTTCAGTGGTTAGGCAACCCTGGATTTAATCCTTGATATTTCCACACCCACCCCCCGCAAAAAAAAAAGGAAAATATAAATAAACATGATCTAGGTACCCTATGACTTCACTTTAGTTTCATAATGAAACATAATTTATAATTTCTGAGACATTGAAAAGGCATCTTTCAAGGAACCCTAGCATTTTCCAGGATTCTATTAAAGTAGCAGAGATCTATGAAGATACTTTATTTAAAAAAAAAGTTTGGTTTTAGATTTTTTTAAGATCCATTTTTGTCTTTGGCTTTATCAATATTTAATTTTTTAGGAAACAATTTCTGATTACCTTATTATTTTATCTTCTCTACTTTCTATCTTAAAATTGCATTTTACTAAGATTAAGAACCATTGAAGCTGGGCATGGTGGCGGCACCTATAATCCCAGTAGTTCAGGAGTCTGAAGCAGGAAGATCACAAGTTCAAAGCCAGCCTCAGCAATTTAGCAAGCCCCTAAACAACTCAGTGAGACCCTGTCTCTAAATAAAATATAAAAGAGGGCAGGGATATGGCTCAGTGGCTTAAGTTTTTCTGGGTTCAATTCCTGATACCAAAAATAAATAAATAAATAATAGAATCATTGAAGAGTGTATTACTATAACAAAATACCTGAGGCCATTTAACTTAGAAAAGATTTATTTTGGCTCACAGTTCTGGAGATTCTAGTCCAAGATTGGGCAGCTCCATTACTTTGGGCTTCTGGCAAGGGTAGCATACAGGAGCACACAGCCAAGTGAACCATTTATATCAAGCCAGGAAGGAGAGGAAGACCGAGAGACCAGAATCCCACAATCCTCTTCAAGTGTATCCCCCTAATGAACCAAGGACCTCCCGGGAGGCCATACCACTTAAAGGTTCCACTACCTCCCAATGGCACCATGCTGGGGAAAAAGCCTTATGGACCTTTGGGGGACAATCATCCAAACCATAGCAAATAATCACCAGTGTTATTCTATTATCATAATAAAGACAGAAAGTTACCATCTTTCTAATACTACAAAGTTTTTGTGTCTTCAAGTTCCCATTAAGAGGCATTAAGATGCCTCCAGATAGTAAATCCAGTTACCAATTACCTGCTTTACTAAAGACAAAATGCAGTAGGAAAGATTGAGACGTCACTGGTCTATCCTGATAAACCAACATCCCTCAAGTGATCAGGGAGCGTTGAGCTCCTAGATCACATCTGACTCAGCTGTTAACTTTTGGTCTATGGAGGGAAAGTTCCATTCTTTCAAAGAGATTTACACAGAAATATTTTGTATTCCTCAGCCCAAAGAGATCTGAAGAATTAAAAGAAGAAAACAGAACCAGGATTCTTCAATTAAATTTATTAAAGTTCTGGAAATAACCTCTCCTAAGGTATGTAGAATTTGGGTTAATCGGGTTCTATCTAGACCTTCCTCTCAATTACTTTTGACATAACTGACATATAACAGAGAATACTTAACTGACATATAACAGAGAATACTATAATAGAGAATCTCTATTCTTTAGGAAAAGAGTAATATAATGAACATAGGGCTAAACTCAGCCAGCCAGCTGTGTTTTGTTTGGCCTGCAAAATATTTAAAATTTGTTTTTATTTGAATACCTTCTAGTTGGGACGTGGGCTTTCCCCAAACCCAGCAACTCCTGATTGTCATACTCAGCAAGATTTACCCATTTATATTACCTTCCAAATCTTTTAAGCTTTTGGTTGTACCTGCTCCAAGAAATTTCATCTCAGACATAGTGTGAATGTAAGGTCCAAGAAATGCTTGGCATTTTGAAATGAACTTGAAAGGAGAGCGAAAAGCTTTGAAGAAGGGGAGCTTGTTTGCTCTCTCTGCTTGGTGAGCACTTTTTTCTTCCATAGGAGTTCACTGGTACCTAGCCTTCTCTGTTCCTCCTGTTGAAACCTACATACATATAGGGTCCAATATTCATTCATGGGGTAAAT